CAGGAGAGGTCTGCCGCGCCATGTGGTCACCTCCGGGGCAGGTGGGAATCGAATTCATGCGGAAGCGGCTTAAACTTCTTAGTATTGTGCTTTAACCCGCTGCGCCACCAGGGAGGGCCCAAAAATTGCATTCTTTTAAAAAACAAAACCCATCCAGTTTTTCGGTCCAGTTTCAAGTGTTCAGAGCCACCGGCAGCAGGGGCCGCCATCCTGGACAGTGCGTGTGTCCGTCACCCCAGGAGCTCTACTGGCCACCACTGCTCTGGAGGCGAAAGAACAAGGCCGACCCCTTCCCTCTCGCTCTCCGCCTCCAAATTTTTAGCTGCTCTGAGAATTACACACTGGCAGTGCAGAGCTCCGATTCTCATGGCCTGCTGGTCATTCACCCGGGATTCCCCACTCTCCGCTGCCTGCTGACGTGGCCCCTGCAGGCCTCCGAGTTTGAGACCGCGATGCAGAGGCATCATATAGATGGGGCTGTTACAGTGCCAGGCTGACTTCACACACCTAGTCACAGCGATAAAAACTAACAGCTGATCACCGCCCCTCCCAGGCGACTGCTTTGCCTGAAATTGGAAAAACACCTCCCTGTGCCCCCAGTCTTCCCTAGAGCTGGAAAGCTGCTGGGGGGTCAGTGGGCTCTGGCCCCTGCACCGGGCTCCGTGTGCTCGGCCTGATGTCAGGGGAATGGTATGTGGGAGGCTCTGGTTTTCTCGTTTGCAGGGGGATTGTTGGGGGTGCTAAAGTGTGACAACAGTAGCGATCACATTTCGGACTTAATAAAATACCATGACGCTCAGCTAGACGCTACCTCATACTCTACCAGCTGACCTGGATCAAATTACCTGCTGAGCCGAGTGGGCAAGGAAGGGAAGCGGGACAGTGCGTGGACAGGAGACGCACCTGTGTTCTGGGGTGGGGGGTGGGGCTTGTCCCTCAGTTCTGCTGCAGGGGGGGCAGGCCTCGAGGAGGTCGGACCCCACTTTTCAGAGCCCAGGGCCCTTCTGGCCACTCCTGGGTCAACATATGACTGTTCAGGGGCTCCCAGGGGCTCAGCTGTAAGGACCAGAGGGCTCCCATGGGTGAGGCTGGTGTGATTCCCACCTCAGGGAATTTCCACTCTCTGGCCTCGCAAAACACCCACGGAGTCTCCAGCCAGGGAGTCCATCAGCCCCGTGAGACTGGAAAACACCTGAAGTTCCCTTGACTCAATCACAGCCAGGTAAAAGGGGGGATGTCCGCTTTGTGGACCCTCCCCAGCAGATCAGGAGGATGAGGCAGTTTTTTTATATCAGCACTTGGAAACATATCTGTCCTCAGGGCGAGAAAAGCGGAGTGGAGAAACATTCAGCCGTTATCACGTCATGAGGCTGTTTGTAAACGCCCACGAAGCACGATATGAGGTATTTTGCAATGGACATAGACATAGATGGAAAAAGAAAGTTCTGGAGGCTCACAGCTCTGGCTGGAAGTAGCAGGTTCATTGGGGAAAGGCCCCGGGGTTGGGCTGGTCAGTCAAAGGAGACGTTGCACTTACTGAAATGCTTGCTGGCTTTCCTTGAAATAAGGATAAACACACACACATTGCTTTGGAAAAATACAAAGAACTGAAATCATCTCACGGGGGCAGGAAGTACCTAGCCCTGGGACAGCGCAGCTGTGTACAGGGGCCTGAGCGCAGCACTTGGAGCATCAGGGGATGTCTCCACACCGCTGTCACCCCGGCACACAGGAGTGGACGGGGACAGGCGGGGACGGGCCGCGAAGGGCGGAACCACTGTCAGGTAAACAGAGACACGGCTGCTTCTCGCCTTCCTGCCACCAGTGACCCAGCTTTCTTTACACACACACTCGTCTCACCATGTGGTAACATGGCCAAAGGCGCTTTTAGGAGCATGGGTCTTGCCTCAGCAGCAGAGGCCTGTCAACTTTACCAAGTTCGCCACGGTCCTTGACCCGTCTGCCTGAATCAACCACGAACTGGTCCACCTTGCCCCTGGTTGCCATGACAGCCGTGATCTCTGACCAGCAGATGTGACCTTATCTGGAAAGAGTGTCCCTGGCAATGGTCAAGTTAAGACTATGTCCTCGTGATGGTGTCAAGGGGAACGTGGGCACACAGTGGTCACCGCATGACCGTGAGGACAGGTGGGTGTGCTTGCAAGTCCAGGAGTCCTTGAGGTCCCCAGCAGCCAGGAGAGAAAGCGGCAAGAACCAGATTGTCCCTTACAGCCCCCAGAGGAACCAACCCTGCCCCCACCTTGACCTCGGATGTCTGGTCAAGACTGAGACAGTAAGTCTGTGGCTTGAGCTCTAAAGTCTGTGCATTTTGTTTGCTTGTTAAAGATTTATTTATGTATGCATACAGCTTTGGGGTACAGGCCAGAGGTTCAGGGTAGTGAGGACTCACCAGAGGCAGAGTGGGGAGCAGAACAGGCCGACTGACGAAGTACATTGCTGAGGGGAGCAGCGGGTGAGACCGGAGAGGTCTGCCGCGCCCTGGGGGTCAGCTCCAGCTGACCAAATGTGCCCTGAAGTGGCTGCTGCCAGCTTGCAGTGCTGTGCTCTAACCCACTGCCCACCAGGAGGGCCAGGTCTGTGCATTCCATGCCCCAGACTCGTGTGCAGATGAGGCTGATGCTGTTTTTCCTTCCGGAGGCCTGTTCCAGCAGATCTGGGAGCTGGGTGTGCCACCAGGATGGGTCCTCCCTGCTGCTGGGTGACAGAGCAGGGTCTCCAGGATTTTCCTTTGCAACAGCGGCATGGGCGTGGCAGGTCTCGAGGGGGCGCCTGTGAGCCCAGAGCACCCACAGGAAATAGGAGACTGGAGCTCAGCGAGGGTCCAGGTGGGGCTGAAGAGTCTCAGGCAGGAAGGGGCTCCGTGATGGGTGGGGGCACCGTAGCCATGTGGGTCTGTCATGTGCACCAGCCCGGGGTGATGTTCAGGATGATTCTAGTCTCTTCAAATGCACGGAGAGCGCCCCACCTTTATCCTTGCTCCCCAGTTTGTGAGGATGGGATCTACCCTTTCTGTGCCTATATGCTGGTCTTCTTTTTAAAAACCAACTTGATGGCGCAATGGATTAAGGTGCAGTGCTGCGAAGCTGGCCACAGCTGCTTCAGTGCGAGTTCAATCCCCCACCCCGGAGGTGACCCACATGGTGCAGCAGACCTTGCCTGTCTCCCCGCTGCTCCCCTCAGCAGTGTACTTTGTTGATCTGCCTGTTCTGCTCCCCACTTTCTCTCTGGTGAACCCTCTCACCGCCTCTGCACCTCTGACCTTTACCCCAGTTTTGTATGCATAAATAAGTGAATCTTAAATAAATAAAATGCAGGTTTTAAAAAATAAACCAACTGGAACTGGTGGTATTTTGGGGAGAGGACATCTTCAGAGGCCATGTCAACTTTTCATGGTTTCATTGGTAATTAATTGAGTTCATTACATCCCTCAGGTTAATTTTGGTAACGACATCTTCCTGGAAAGGATCAACTGCATGTCCGTTCTCAAGTTCACGGTTATGTTTACACGGTATTCTCATCACTAAAAACAAAGGCTAAGGGGGTCTGTAGCCTGTCTAGTGTTTACTGTGGGTGTCGTTTATTGATTTCTTTTTTCCTTTCTCTCCATTTCATGCCTGCCAAAGGCTTCCTTCCTTTCATCGTCTTTTAGTGACCAGCTCCTATGCATTTGACTATTTTCCTAGTACGTGGCATTTAAGGCTCTCAGCGTCGGATCAGCCACTGCCTGCATTCTTCTCATTGCTCCTTTCTTCGGTTATTAGTATCTGTCAAAAGCCGTCTGATTAAGCTGGTGACAGCTGGGGTTTCCCCAAGCTGCCCTGCTGTGGTCTGATCTGTTACTTTTTGTCCTTGGCTGCCTCGAGACAC